GCTCTGTCTGCACAGCGTGCGTGAACGCGCTGATGACGTATCCTGTCTGCGCGAACCGGGTGCGCAGAGGTATGCTAATACATACGTTGACAGGCAGGTAGGAAAGCTAATTAAAACGCTCGGACCAAACGTTTTGATTGGACGAACATTTAGATAATCAAGATAATCTCCTCACTAACTCCCAAGAAGAAGATAAAGAAGCAGCCTTCCTGCTCGCCGTAGAAGAGCCCCAGCAGCTGATCATGGCGCTGCCAGCTCTCGCAGCTGAGAACGGTGCTTCTCCACGGCTATCCGGCAAAACTATTAGAGCATATTTCATCTAAGAGAGCATATTTCTTGTGCCGTTTGTTACAAAATGCCACACCACGAATGTGGCACATGCAGAGCACTCCTGCACTCTTCAGATGTGCATTGCCTGTTCGGGCAAAGCCCATGCAAAGGCTGCACTCACTGAGACGAGCTGCTGTCATTGCGAGAGCAAGAGTCTCATGCATCACTTTCTATAAAGATGGCGACCCCGTCCCTTGTGTTCCCCTTTTTCTTCCTCTCAGGAGCCTTGGAGGAAAAAACAGATGGGTCTCAGTGAGCTCATATCCCATAAGTCTCAATCTCCCCACAGCGAGAGGATTCCCCAGTGCTCTTTTCCCGCAAAGACCAGCACCCCTCGCGAGTGGTTTGGTCCCTTTAGGGGTTCCGAGGAGGACACTGTGTCATTGGCAGCTCTTCATGTGGAGGATTGGATGAACTCTACAGAGGATTCTGCCCCCTGCTGCAGAGTAAGCCAGGTGATGCCAGACCCGGTCTGGAGACCAAACTCATACGCATCCTCACCAAGGCCATTGAGGAGCTCGGCTTGGAGTGGTCGTCTCTGGATGAGCCCGTCTGCAGCCAACTTGATGAATGGTTTCTGCAGCTGCAGCAAGTTGGAAGAAACCTACCCCGTTCTTTCCTGAAGTTCACAATGAATGGATTAGTTTGTGCCATGCCCCCTACTCGGCCTGCGTCAACTCTTCAGCATTGGCCACCCTCACCTCCATTGGTGGTGCTGAGGATCAGAGGTATGAGAAGCTGCGAGGGGTGGCAAACTCAGTTCCTGGAGGGCCGCAGCCCTGCAGATTTTAGTTCCAACCCTGCTCCAACACACAAACCATGCATTTTTCAAATAAGCCCGAAGGACGTGATTAGCTGGATCGGGTGCATTTAATTAGGGTTGGAGCTAAACTCTGCAGGGCTGTGGCCCTCCAGGAATTGAGTTTGACACCCCTGCTCTAAGGCAATGGACAACCTGGTGATTCTTGAGTGCCACCTCTGGATGAATTTAACGGCGATCATGGACACTGACAAGACAGCTTTCCTTGACTCCACGGTCTCGGCTCATAAGTTGTCTCAAGTCACGCACCACTTCCTGCCAAAACGATTCGCCTCGGCTGCTGTTTCAAGTCTCCAGGGGGCCTCGTCCACTCAGAAGCCTGCCATGCCAGCATCAACGACTTCTCTTCGCAACAGTGTGAGTATCAGCCCGACTTCTCACCACCCGAAGCCAGGCTTGGGAAGCCATTCCAGGTGTGTCAAAGTGGGTCTTGGAAAAAATCAAACGAGACTGCTCGCTCAAATTCATTCACAGACCTTGTTTCAGGGGCGTGGTTCAAACTTCGGTCCGGGGCAGCATAGCTTGCATTCTCCAATCCAAAGTAGAGAGTCTGCTGGCAAAGAGTGGCATGGAAATGTTCCGGCAGCTCACAGCGAGTCGGGGTTTTACAGCTGCTACTTCCTAGTTCCAAAGAGTGGTGGCCTCAGGCCCATCCTTGCTCAAAGCAAGTATTCAGGATGTTAACCTTAAAACAAATCCTCTCACAAATTTTCACAGGGAATTGGTTTTTGTCGGTGGATCTGACAGATGCATACTTTCATATCAAGATAGCCCCTCACCGCAGCCCATTTTTATTTGCATTCGAATTGGTGGCTTACCAGTATCCTGATTCAGTTTCAGGTACACACACTTTTACAAAGTCGATGTGGCCCTCTTCCCCCCTGAGACAGAAGGGAGTGTGCCTGCTTCACATGCTGAAATCCCAGGTCCTGTCCCACACTTGGGACGCCTCAAGAACCCACAGCTATGTCAAGGCCCTGGCCCCTTGGAAAGCCACTCATCTGTACCGGACAGGAATGGATTTGAGGCTGGTCTCCAGGAGGAAGGTAGTCACGACAGACACCTCCAACACAGGTTAGGGAGCTCTGTGCAAGGGCAGACCAGCGATCGGCTCCTGGTTAATCCTGGAGCAGCACTGGCGTATCAATTGCCTGGAAATGATGGCTGTTCTTCTGGCACTCGGAGCCTTTCTGCCAGACCTTAAGGGGTACCATGTCTTGGTTTGTTCGGACAACATGATAGTGGTAGCCTACATAAACCACCAAGGGGTTGCAGCCTCTGTACAGGCTGGCGAGGCGCCTGAGCACAACACAAATTTCGTTCGCTGAAGAAAGTGCATGTGCCGGGCAGATTGAACCAGGGAGTGGAGAAAGATTCTGATGAAATGCATTCAGTGCCAACTTTTAATAGGCAGTTGGCTCCACCGGTTTTGGCTGAAATGCCATTTGTTCATGCAGTTGCACAAACGGGATTCAATCAGGCTTCAGTATTACAGAGAAATGGAGTTTTCCCAAAGTGTCAGCTGCCCGTTCCTGTTATCTCAGGGAATTGAGGTTATGTTAATATTCGAGACAATTTCTTAATGGTTTTAATGTTAGCATTAAAAAGTAAGAACTAAAAAAAGTAAATAAAATGATTATTTCCAGGTCTGTAATTAAGAAAATATCAAAATCTAAATCTTTAAAAGTCATAAACATTCCAGTTCATCTAACAGGTTTTATTTGATGTCTTCAGGATTGATTCCAAATTTTGACAGAAACCATTCATCTAACAAAAGTGACGGCTCACTCCGGATAGTTTAAAACCCTGAATGCTTTATTGAAAGTATGTATACATAACACCTCTTCTACAGAACATTACATAATAGTACAATCACTTAGAATAATAACACACTGAAATGCGAAACAGATCCTCAGAACCTGACTGCAATAAACTTAGTCGTATCCCAGAACTCCACCAGGGCGCTACCGTTACCCTGCCTGTTACACCGCCTCAGAGCACAAGAAAGTCAAACTAAGACTGAAATGAAACACAAATATTCAGAAGGAAAGGAAAGTTCAGTTGCATAAACCAGAACGTACAACACCACGATTCAGTGAGATCTCGCATATGTGTGAGGGTGTTTCTGCATGCACCTGTTTTGTCTTTTCGCTTGTGCGCGTCACTCCTCACTAATGGAACAGGTTCGGCTGGTCAGGGAGCAAATAACCTGTACAAGGAGTTTACCTGATGCAGGTGAGAAATAGTTAACATTTGTAAGGGAGGATATATGGCAAGAAATACACACATGTATGTATATATATATATATTTATATATCTAAAGATTCTTCATATATCTGTATATGAAGAGCACATAATTACAGAATAAATCATAGTAGGCGAGTGATGACACTCTGAATACCTAAATCATTACGGGTACACCTGTGTGTACTAATGCGTCATATGGTGCGAAAGTATAAGAAATTCACCAATAGAAAAAAGCATTTAAGAGGCCACTTGCCAAGACATCCGTTATACGATAATACAAGGGAAAAAGCAATAAAGCAAAACAAATAAATCAACCCAAAATAAAAGCCAATAAAACTAAGAAAAGCTGATGAGTAATCATATATGTCCGAAAAGCATTTAAAAAAATAAATAAATAAAAAGTCAAGATGTGATAATACGAGAGGAAACGAGACCGAAGAGGAGGGAAAAAAAACGGACATCAAACATGGAAACTGAACTCAGAAACATTTGGGAGTTTGTTCTGACGTACTTACCGTGACAAAATCACTCGTCTCACACCGAGAGCCTGAACATTCACTGCAAAAATGACCTCAAGCACGTCACGAACACCTAACGAAGGCAAAGTACGCATGCTGAAGGCCTGTATTTACATGTGGAACGTGACGTCGGCTCATTGGCGTGTCATTAGCATCTTAGCGAGCCTAGCTTAGTTTGTCTTCAACCCCGTTACCAAAAAACAACCTGTTTTGTCCTGTCCTGTTATGCGTCTTTCTTCGTAAATCTTACATCTCAAGACTAAAGAATAACAATCCATCACTTCCCGCTCTCAGAATAAAGTACCATAAGCAATGAAAAATAGTGGGGTCATGATTGGACTTTTCGAATCGAAACGAATATCAATCAGTTAAAAAAATGCCTGTAAATTCAGTCATTTAAAATTGTCGTGAGGGAAACGAAAACAATATCTTATATCTGCTGGTGAAGACACTTACTTTCAAGCATACGAGGTGGCTAAAAGAAGTTCATGCTGAAAAATAAAGATATGATTTGTTCTCTCTCTGACACGTGCGAGAGATTGCACTTTTTTTTGTCCCCTCGTTGAGTGAATATTGTACAGAACACAAAGCAAGCCTGAGGCCTTGATTCATTCACAATAATAAATTAAAGCCGTAATAAATAACGATCTGAGCGATGTTTGTCCGTGTGTGTGGGTGGGTGTGGCTTCAGGAGGCAGTTGTCCACTCAGAATGCAGTGTAGGGGAGGGGGAGGAGCTTGAGCCGAGGAGGGGCGTGACCTCTGCGAGGCGTGTGCGTTTGGTGCCGCCACACGGATGTGAAGTCAGATGATGAAGGGCAGCCGCCAGCTTCATGTGTCCGCTGTGGGGATGTGAAACCGCCAGGAAAAAACATCCGTCTGCCGTTAGATTTACTTCATTTCTCGTTCTTCATTCACAAAGTCTATAGTGTGTCTCACTGTATATTTTCCAAAGTGGACATCTGCTCCGGAGTCAACATCAACTATCCATGCTATAGCACTCTACAGGAGAACAGAAGCAGAGATGGAGACCAAAACCACAGCAACAGTTTCATTCCTGAATCTGAAATCCATTTGAATTCCAGAAGCATATTTAAAAGCTATAGTTAAGAGTTGTTAAGATTGTATATATGAATCATAAAGTCCAGATTCGACACCTATTTATTTTTATTTTTTTACTTCGCAAATTAGCTAGTTTTTTTATTATTATTCATTATTGATATTCCATATTGGTTTTAGTTTTATGTAGTAGTTGTGAACATTTCTAAAGACATGATTTGACAAATGTAATTTTTGTTCCTGTATCATTTCCTACTAAAACAGGAAGTTTAAGCAGGTGTGTATGTCACAGTCTTTAGTTTGCCAAAGCCCAACAAAACAATAATTTGCTACTTGCTAATTCCCATTCAAAATATGCATATATTATAAATATTAAGTAGTTTGAGAATGCAGAGAGATCGCAGTGCCCTTAGTCTTTTTAGTGTGAATTTCTTGTCGTAATTCTCAGATTAGTGAAGATTTCTTTGCAGAATCATGGGCAATGTAATTTTATCAGGTGTTCCGCTGTTGAGCATGAATGCGGTTGAAATAAGTTAATATATGAAAATGCGAACAGATGGCTTCAATAAGCATCAAAATGCATATATACCATCAACTAACAACTTGGTAGCTCAGTTGGTCTGTCTTGCTTGATTAAAAAAAGTTCAGGGGAAAATTATTTTTTTAGTCGAAGATCAGAACTGTAAATGTACACTGTATATATCTGATATCGTTGAATTATGAGTACACTAGCATATAGATGTTAGGCTCAAAGCTAATTTTAATTTCATCGCATTTCAGTTTGTAATGAAAACAGCCAGGTACACACTAAAATTATTTAACTTTATATTTTCACTGGTACTGGTGTAAATTTCTAAAATTTTAGAATCATGACAATCCTTCTTAATATTTAATACCAGCCACATTCTTAATTATAATGACATTTTTTTTTTTTAATGTCTATACAGTTTATAGTTTCATTTATTTAGTTTTGTTATTTTTATTTCAGTTACACTAAAATGTTGCTGACTAGGCAACTAGCTGAAATTAAGTTCACTTTTTTAAATTAAATTTGGTTTTATTTCAAGTAACAATTTATTTATTTATTTTTATGGTTATAGTTTTAGTTAACTATAATAACCTCAACTGGGTAGTGGACATGTTGCTTGTCCATTTATTTATTTTTAAATTAACATCAGGATTTTAGGTTTACTATTTTATGTTTTATTTGAACGTGTAAGGGAAAGCACATATTTAAGTTAGAATCATTCATTTCTATTTCATTCCATTTAGTTTTTTTGTTGTTGTTTTTTTTTGCCTTCGCTAGTTCATTTTAAATGTCCCAGTGGTGACTTTTAAAAGTAGTACAAATATAAATCTCTTACTCGTGTGAGCTCATAAAATCTGCATGTATAACAATTATAAAACAATTAACAAAATGCCGTTTAAATTTGTTTCATAGTTTACCAGCCGAATATTTTTCAGATGGAGTTTAGCAATTTGATGTTACAACAAACGAGCAGCATTTTGACTGAGATGAAGAGGTTCATACCGGTGAGCCCCTCGGTCTCCTGGGAGTCCAGAAAGGGTGCGGGACCCCAGACCCTCACGGTGCCGTCATCCGAGGCGCTGGCCATGAGGCCCGGCAGCGCGGGGTTCCAGCTCACGCAGTTGACTGTGCGCGTGTGACCCGTCAGCTCGGCTATGGGCAGCTCGCTGCGCTTGTGCCAGATGTAAACTTTGTGATCTAGAGAGAACACACAGATCACAAACCCCATCAGCTCTCTGCTGGATGCGTTCAGTCCGTTATACTGAGACGCAGACGTTCTTACCTTCACTGCCACTGGCGATAAAGTCTTCGTTGTAGCCGCCAAAACAGGAGTGGATGGTGTAGAAGCCTTGAGTCACGCCCTGGTACTTCCTGACTAACACCCGGTCCTGCAGGTCCCACAGATGAACTCCCTGCAGACACGAACACACAGCGCTGAGACTAAACTACACTCTATCACTTTAATTGTGTGAGTAATAAGTCAAACATTCTAGGTATGAGCGGTATCACCAAAACCTTATGTAATAGTACAGGTAATGTGGTAACAGTTTACAAAAAAGTCCTTTACTTAATGGCAGTTAAAGCATTAACAATGAGAAATTTGTTAGACCTGTTCCACACAAAGGACCATAACTATATCAATATTCCAAAAATTGCAATTAAGAGTTCTATGAGAACGTCAGCATTTTTTACAAGTCAGAATCATAATTACGGCGATTCCCTGAACGCACTTTTATTTATAGAACTTTCGAATCACACCACAATCTCAGACTGCTCATAACAAAGTAATAATAAGTGAGGCATCAGTGCAAAAAAGCTTCACATTATGAAACAGTTGAGTTCAAAACAGTCCATCCAGCCGTGTTCTCATACTCACCTGAGTTGCGACATTTAACAGAGCTAATCTCCCGTTCTTTGACACGGTGAAGGACATTATCGGATGGTCCTCTTGAACTCTGTGAGAGACGACAACCAAGCTCACACCAACGCATCCACATAACTCTTACCAACAAAAGCTGCAACAAGATCTATGAGTGATAAACGCAGTCGACATACATGTTCCTGTCGGTCAGATCTTCAAAGTTATATCCACGGATGCGCTGGTGTGTATCAGAGGCCAGCACTGTCCTGCCGTCATTCAGACACCACAGACACTGAACACGAACACCCTCCCAGGAGTCCAGCAGGTTTCCGTCCAGATCCTGACCGATAACATCAACACGTCACCATTTACCATCACTTAGCAATGTGTGCTTTAAAACGCACCAGAATTATCACTGGGTCAATCTCATATTAATCTACACACATATAAGTTTGTTCAAAGGTTTGGTATGAGTAAATTGAATAAATGGATGCATTTTGAGATTTCAATTCATCAAAGAATCCTGAAAAATAATATATATCTTGGTTTCCAGAATATTATGAAGCATTTTCAACTGTTTTCAACACTGATAATAATAATTATGTTTCTTGAGCAGCAAATCAGCATATTAGAATGATTTCTGAAGATCACGTGACACTGAAGACTGGAGTAATGATGCTGAAAATACAGCTGCGCATCACAGGAATAAATTATATTTTACAATATATTCACACAGAAAACAGTTATTTTCAATTGCAATAATATTTCACAATATTACTGTTTTTACTGTATTTTTGATTCATTAAATGTAGCCTTGGTGAGCATAAAAAAATCTTACGACCCCAAACGTCTGAACAGCAGTGCATTTTTTGTATTTTTTTATTAATATACACTACCAGTCAAAAGTTTGGGATCAGAACAATTTTTTATGTTTTTACAGGAGTTTCTTCTGCTCATCAAGGTTGCATTTACTTGATCAAAAATACAGGGGAAAATGTAATATTGTGAAATATTATTATGATGTAAAATAATGTTTTTCTATTTTAATATACATTAAAATCTAATTTATTCCTGTAAAGCAAAGCTGTATTTTCAGCATCATTACTCCAGTCTTCAATGTCACATGATCTTCAGAAATCATGCTAATATGCTGATTTATTATCAGTGTTGAAACTGTTGTGCTGCTTCATATTTTTTTGGAACCTGTGATGCTTTTTTTTCAGGATTCTTTGATGAATAAAAAGTTAAAAAAGAAGAGCATTTATTTAAAATAGAAATCTTTTCTAACAATATACACTACATTTCAAAAGTCTGGGGTCAGTAAATTTTTATTCTTTCTTTTTTTGAAATAAATTAAAACTTTTATTCAGCAAGGATGTGTTAAATTGATAGCAAATATTTATATTGTTAGAAAAGATTTATATTTTGAATAAATCCTGTTCTTTTTAACTTTTTATTCATCAAAGAATCCTGAAAAAGTATCACAGTTTCCAAAAAAAATTTGGCAGCACAACTGTTGCCAACATTGATAATTCTAATAATAAATCAGCTTGTTAGAATGATTTCTGAAGGATCACGTGACACTGAAGACTGGAGTAATGGCTGATGGAAATTCAGCTTTGCATCACAGAAATAAATTATATTTTAAAGGATAATAAAATAGAAACCATTATTTTATATTGTAATAACATTTTGCAAGATTACAGTATTTCCCTGTATTTTTGATCAAATAAATGCAGCCTTGATGAGCAGAAGAGACTTCTTTAAAAAACATTATAAGCCTTACTGATCCCAAACTTTTGAACGGCAGTGTATATTCATGTATATTTAATTATATTTATTTTTTAAATGAATTTTTTTATTATTTTCATGAAAATTAAGCACAAATTCTCTTTACTTTAATGTGGAAAAAAAATACAAAAAATGCATTTCAAAAAGTGTAAGCATTAATCATGTTTGCATTGGTTTCACTGAATTCAATGTAAGCTGGTTTTAATAATAAAAAATATTATAGTGTTTGTTTGATCAGTAATTAGAAAGACATTTTTTGGTCTTGGAAAAAGGTAAATTGTGCAGAATTGTGCGTTAAAAAAGTATATCCAGTTACTACCAAAAGCCATTACTCTACCTAATACAAAATAAAATGATTTCTTACTTTTTTCTTTTGATGTCAGGCTGAAACATGACCCGGACATTTGCTAACGAGACTCCCCCATTTATATGCGAGAACACTGTAACTGTACAGCGGCACTTACACACTGGTAGAACTGGCCTCTCTGACCTCCGGTAACGAAACGCTTGCCGTCTGGATTCCAGGCCACGCTGGTCAAGCTGTCCTCATGGGACTGGCTCATTTTGGTTCTCAGTTCCCCTGTCTGGAGGAGCAGAGCGGCGGATTAAACAGAGACGAGCCAGTGGAAGGAATCTGAGCGGGCGAGACCCTCACCTGCACGTTCCACAGCCAGAGCTCGGAGCAGTCGTCCGGGCCGCACGCTATCAGATACGTGTCATCGGGGCTCCAGGCCAGATAGGAAACCCCATAGGCATGACCCTCCAACGTCTTCAGCTGCTTGAGCTGGTGAGAGTCCTGTCAAAACACCTCTGACCATCAGACTCTCGCATCCTAAGCAGAATACTCCAGTATTTCCAGTGCTGGGTGGTAACTGATTACATGTGATCTGGATTACGTAATCAGATTCCAAAATTAAGTACTTGTAATTAGATTAATAAACCAATAAGCCCCAAGAAGCCGTGGTTTACAGTAGGGATGCACGATATTGGATTTTTGCCGATATCCGATATGCCGATCATTTTCAACTCATTTTGGCCGATAGCCGATATATAATAATTTTTTATTTTAGTTTTTAACAAGAACTTATTAGTTAGAATTAAATAAACAATAATAAAGTTCTTTTATAATGACAGTACATTGAAGATTTGAAAATAACTATAAATAAACTATATAATAATCACTGCGTTTTTTTTTTTTTCCCAGAAAGATGCAGTGGTAACCATAACATTTTATTTTATGATTTAACATTTGTAAACGGTCTAAAGCAAAAGAGTTGTAAAAATTCTGAAAATATTTTAGAGCTCATAATTTGTTTAAAAAAATATATAACAATATAATCAAGAATGAGCCACAATGCTGACATGATCTAATCGCTAGCATACCCTGAGCACATGCGAGTTAATGTATTCCTCTTATCGGCAAGACATATCGGCATAATTTTTCATATCGAGCCAATGCCGATATTTACATTTAAAGCCATTATTGGCCGATTCCGATATTGGTCAGATAATATTGTGCATCCCTAGTTTACAGTGAATTTATAACAGCTAAGGGGCGTTGTTAGGCATGACGCGGAGCAATTTAGAGAAATATTTATTTAGAGAGTAATTTAGAACAGCTTTGAACGTGGCTCAACCAATTAGAATCAAGGACCGGAATTATCCATTTTATAAATTACATTTTAAAGTACTCGTAATTAGGCTTGCCACGATAGACGGTGCTGACGGTGATACTGTTGTTAAGTCGCAACACCGGTTACGTCACTTGCCCACCACGGCACCGACCCCCACCGTCGTTTTGATTTTTTTTATAGTAATAAAAATCATTTAGTTCAGTAAAAGAACAGAAACTGAACGCGGCTGCTCAATGCAGCGTACCAAACAACAGTCGCATCACAGATCAGATTTCATTTATCCAGTGAGGAGAGCGAGTCGAGCTGACTGACAAGACGATGAGACACACAAGACGATCGCGGATGATTTAGTTTCGAAACGAAATGCAAAAGCACCTGTTTGGCAGTATTTTGGATTTTGAAAAGCCTGTTGACTTTTGCCGTTTATCTAAGGTGATTTTGGAAGTTT